CCTGCCCGAGGAGCGCCCGCTGTGCCACCCATTGGCGATGCTCGGTGCCCGAGGACATGTCACCTCTGCGGAGGGAGAGAAATCATCCTGTGGCTCTGCTTTTTGTGCTTTGTGTGCTGCTGGGAGAGCTCCGGTAATGCCAGGCTGATATCCTGAATTCTGCTCTGTTCTGTTTGCTGGATCAAGGCTTTAGTTCACTAAAGGTGCAGCTGCCTGAGAGAAATTACTGGCAGCGATGGCAGTCCCGACAGGACTGCAGGGACACCACAGCGTTTGACAGGGACCCACATTGACGTGGAAGCAGCAAGAGCAGTGAGAAGTTGTGATTATTTTCCATTTCACAATGAAGGTGAGCCCACCTCTGCCCAGCAGCAGCGTCAGGAATCCCCCTGGGATTCAGATCCTGCCATCCCACGGGGTCAACTTCTCCCCATCCCTCTCGGAGCCCCAGACAGGGCACAGCCATCCCCGTGCCCCACCCCAGCGTGTTCCACCGGAGCTGTTTCTGTCTCTCTGCCAGCCCAGCCGGCAGCACTGCTCGGAGAAGCGAAGCCAGGACAGATCCACCCCGGTTTTGCCTTTCCACTGAGGACACAAGAGGGAGCTTTCCCCGCGGGACACTCACCCTTTTTGCACTTTGGCAGAGGGGGGTCCCACCTGGAGCCAGCTCGGCAGGTGCTGCTGCGGGGACCCTGCAGGGTGTACCCCGGGTTGCAGGTGAAGGTCACAGTTTCCCATACCCTGTAGTAAATACTCCAAGGGGACACGGTCCCATACTGGACACGTGGTAAGTGGCAATAGACAGCTGGGAAGAGGAGAGAAGGGAGATGTTCACCTGCACGGCTCGCAGGGCTCCTGCCGTGTGCAGCCTGTCTGTGCAGCCTGGAGCCCACGGGCAGTGCCATGCACCGCTGGCTGCAGCTGGGCTGGGGGTCCCTGGGGCTGCAGGACCCTCCCCGTGCTCCTGGAGGACCCTGCTGCAACCTCAGCTGACAAAATCTGGGTGTCCTGCATCTCATGTCAACCACCCAGTGAGGTCAAGAGCCTTTCCTGGCCCTTCTGCAGGCTCTGAAATCCCTCCTAGAGCCCGATCTGACGCGGGGACTCAGCGCCAGGGCAGTCCAGGGCTGACCCGGCTGCACCCCAGGGCTCTGTGCTGCCAGGGGGCTGGGTGGGGGGTGCCAGCCTGGGCTGGGGGTGCCAGCCGTGGCTCTGATCACCCCAGAGGGTCTCTGCCATCAGCAGAGGAGCTCGCAGGCTCTGTGATGCCCAGCTCCACCTGGGACCAGTGCAGGGCTCCCATTTCCCTCCAGAGAAAAGCACAGGGCTCAGCGAGGAGAGGAGCAGCGCTGAGGAAGAGGAGGGCCGCGGGAGGAAGGCCCCAGAGGAGCAGAGCTGCTGCTCTGCCTTACCTTGAGCCCCGGGCGTGGTGCTGAGGAGCAGGGCAGAGCTGCCCAGCAGGCAGAGGGTGAGGATGGGCACCATCCCCAGCACAGACAGCAGCTCCCGGGGCACGGGGCAGATATGGACACCCCAGTTCCCCCCTTGGGAGGAAGGAGATGCTGCTGGGGGACTTTCCAGGACTGTGAGCCAGGAACCTGGGGGCTCCCCAGAACAGGCTGCAGGTGCCCCTCGCTGCTGCTGCTGGTTTTGGCAGGGAAGGATGTGGGGAGAGGGGTGAGAAAGGGCAGGTGCAGGTGTTATAAATTAGTTCATGTTTGAAGGATGGTTAATACAATTAGGTTCTGGGTTGTTAATTAGTTGTTACAAAGTTATGAATTGGTAAATGAACGGTTCTATGGGAATTATTGATGGTATATTGTAAGCAGGATGTGGGTAGGCAGTTCTGCCATCCAGGTGTGTGGCCATTAGGAGAACTGATGGGTGCTCCGTTGGTTGAATGAAAAGAACCTTCTGGAACATTACTGAATGGGGTGAGGTCAACAAGTTGAACAATAATTGGAAGACGAGTTAGCCTATGAGATCTGAGTATTTCAAAACGATTGGTCAGGATTGCACCTTGGTAAGGACCAGCCAACGGCTGAGAAGAGCAATCAAGGTGAGGATTGAGAAGCACACCTATCAAAACGCACTAGAGACTATAAAATCCCTGGGTGCTCAGAACCTGGGACTTTTTGACACAATTTGGGTTCCTGAGAAAACACCCTGTCCACTGCACAGTCAGTGCTTTGTTGAGTGGGCTTATCCTGGGCTCCTGCTTCCTGTGTTTTTTGTTTTAATAAAACAAAGTTGACTTTCTTGGAAAGTCTGAGCCTTTCGTTTATTACACAGGCAGAGGGGCTGTAGCTGCACTGTGCCCATGGTGAGAGCATCCACCCCCAGGGGAAGTGGCCCAAGCTCTGTCCCAGAGCCCCAAGTGATGGTGGTGGCACCAAGGGACGTGGCACAATTCACCTGCCCAGGGATGGGATGGGCAGAGTGGGGCATTCCCTCCTCCCAGAAAAACGGGACCAGCACAAATCCTCCTGACCCGGCCCTGGGCTCATCCCTCACCACTGGCAGGGAGAATTAACTCCCAGACAGGACTTTTTGTTGAAGGAGCTGCAGATCCCCACCTCACACAGGTAACACTTCCTGAGCCTGCATCAGGCAGCCAGACATGAAGTGCTCAAGTCCTTTTATCTCTTTTGTTGGCAGAGAGCTTCCAATACTTACAAATCCAACATTTACACTTCAGAATTGCACTTGGTCATCTGCACTCAGATTATAAAGAAAAATGATGTACAGTTGATTACAAATACAGTAAATGAAGCCTCTGCAATGGTAAACTTTGGTGACCACCCCTTGTAAACAATGTTTCAGCATTCACAGTTCCTTTCATTTGATTGTGGGGAGATAATTCCAGCTGATCCCCAAATCACATGTTAAATCATTTGAAAAAAAATCACTTTGGACTACACAGTAGGAATAAATGTGCTGGGATTAAAATAACAAAACCAAACACAACCCAGAGCTGCGAGGCTTTAGGTTGTGTTTTATCCATTCAGTCATTCACATGGCTTACAGTAAGAGAGAAATAAAAATAACCAGCAATGTGCAAGGCTGAATAAAACAGGACCTGCAGTGGCCCTGTGACAGTGCTCTGCTGGGAAGGGAGAACTTGGGGGTCTGTTTGGAACAAGGCTGAAGTGTGAATGGAAATACTTATTTGTGGGTTTCCTTCTTATCAGAGGCATGTTCCTGCTGGCAGGAAGGCACCAGGGGAAAGGGAGGAACCAAAGGGCTGTAGTAGACACATTTTGGGTGGTTCCTGTTCCCAAATGAACGTCATGAGAAGCTCCCAGATGGGTGATTTACCTCTGCAGCAGACAAAACCCCAAACCTCAACATTTTTGCTTTACCAGCAGCTAAAACTCTGAGTGTAGCCAATCAAAATTCCACCACAGTGGTGTTTCCCTTCTGAACAGGAAATTTTCCAATCTTAACTCCATTTTATGGCACCTCTTCAGCTTATCCACTGATCCTTAAGCCTGGCTGAGTTAAAACCAGGAGAGGAAGCAGCCACATAAACCCAGGGCATTTTCCTCCCTCACCTGGTTCCTCCCTCACCTCTCTCCACATCCACACACCACGACTGGCTCAGGTCCATCTGCACCTGCTTGGGATCAGAGCAAGAGCCCAAAAACCTCCTGGACAAGCTGGTGTCTGGTCAAAGGCTGCACTCGGTGATCTTGGGGGTCTTTCCCAACCCTGAGGGGAACAGAGCACTGCCCCACCTCCCTCATCACAGTTCCCAGGAAAGCTCAGGCACTGGACACCAGTACAACAACAGCAATTAACTGAGCAGAAGCAATTGATGAACTTTGTTATATCCTGCAAAGAATGAGACTGTAAAATCATTTAAGGCACTCTATGGCAAGGCTTGGTTAGTAAGTATGAAATAAACCCCAGAGCCAGGATACCAGTATTCCTTATTTGACATTCCTTTTATTTACAAAACAGTTTTACTATAAATACTGTAAATTTTATGCTTTTATCTGCACATTAGGAAAAGAACCTCAGTTTAAAAAAGTAGCCTAAAAAATACTAATAAATCTTGTAAGATTGTGCAAAGAGGAAATTATTTTCCTAGTGCAAAGAAACGTTTACTGACTTCTTAAAGTCTCAGTTTAAGAGCTGTGAAAATACTTTGTTCATAGAAAAATAAACAGAAGATTGGGCATTAAATCAACACAAAGGTGGGTTTGAAGTATGTTTGGTTTTTCTGCTTCTTTGCCAGCTCAGGTGAAGTCACAGCCTTGGCTTCAGGTCTCTTTATTGCACCAAGAACAGAATTCCTGACAGCGCCAGGGGTCAGTGTCAGAGCTCCCCTTCCCTCCTCAGCTCCTGGATTTATCCTGCCATGGGAGACAAGCGGGAATCAGGGGGAGCCCCTCGGCCTGGGGAGGGTTTGAGGAGCCCTGTCCCCCTCCCCAGGGGTGTTTGGGGTGCAGCTCCTACCATGGGTGCCAGGCGCTGGGGCTGGCACAGGTGAGCGTGGGTGGGCACCGAGCACACGGGGCAGGTGTGGCAGCCGGGGCTGTGCAGAGGGGCCAGGTGGGCTGGGGTCCCCTCCCTGGCCAGGGGACACACGGGGCTGCTGGCTGTGTCCCCGTGGACCAGGGCCAGGAGCTGCTGGTCCGTGCAGGGAGGGCAGACAGGGCCCTGCAGGCTGTGGGCAGAGAGGTGAGGGTGAGTCCCAGGTGAGGATGGTGACAGGAGCTGCCCCTCTCCAAACCACCCTGCACGGGCTCCAGCACCCACAAAAGCTGCTTTCCTTCACAATTTCCCTTTTAAAACTCAAATTAGCAGTGATTCAAGAATGCAGAACTGGACCAGGATTAGGACTCCTAGACACTGGAACAGGCACTCACAGGAATAAACAGAAAAACCCCCAAAAAAATGCAGCAACAAGGAGTTCACATTTCCTAAAGCCAAAGCAAGCAACATGTCAAACGGTGTTGATCTGTTTTTTCATGTGAATTTGCCTCTTCAGTTGTGACTGTTAAGGAAGATTTGTCAGCCTGAGGGAGCACCAGACTCACATGGATGAGTGCCAGAAGATAAATAAATAAACCGAGCAAACAGCTTTGCCTTGTCACTGCTCTGGCCCAAAACCTTTCCTTGCCACAGGAACCACAGCCCCAGGTGGGAAGAGCACTGGGCAGGGGGTGAAAAGAGGCTCCCACTGCAGGGTCTCACCGGGGCTCTTTGCTGCTAAACCAAAACCAGAGCTCCAAAAAGCACGAGGCCAAGCCAGGGCAGCACGGCTGAGGAGCTCCAGAGACACCCAGGGAAACCCCACAGGCACCATCGGAATAAAGCTCAGCCAGTTTCACACCCCTCTGCTTGATCAGCCCCTGACACAGGGCTACCAACACACACTGCCCCCCGGTTTTGTGTTAAATTACACAGTGAATTCTCAGTTTGGAGGGCACTGGGCACTGCAGTGCTGAGAGGAGCTGGACAGAGCTGCCTGCACTGGCCACACTCACCCCTGGTCCTGCCACTCCCCCGGTGTCACAGCACTGCTGTCACCCTGGCCAGTGTGGGCACGGAGCCAGCTCTCACAGATGGGACAGATGTGGTCACTGTGGAGAAGAACCATTGAGGATGTGCACTGAGGGCATGGATGTGCCTTCCAGGCCATGTTCCTGGGGCTTGGAACAACCTGGGGCAGTGGGAGGTGATGGGAATGGGATGAGCTTTAACATCCCTTCCAACCCAAACCAGTCTAGGATTCTCAGTCTAGGATCTCCTGGATTCTCTAGGATACTCTATTCTGAAATTCACTGATTTTTGTCCATGCCCACCGTGGCACTGGGTATTTCTAGGTGGAGACTGACCTTTGGTGGTGCATGGGCTGCTCTGCCTCACTCCTGCATGGAGCAGCTTCCCCTGTGCCATTCCCCCTGGGCACATCCACGGCTTTGGCAGGAGAGCTGAACACAGAGAGAGAGAGAGAAGGAGAGGGGACAACCTGAGCATGTGGCTTCCCAAAAACACCTACTGCCCAACAGAACCACCCTTTCCTAAATATCAAATCCTTGCTCCTGCTAAAACAGGAACCACATGAATTCCAGCTGCAAAACTCACTTTATCCACACAAAGTTGCCTCCTCCCCCTTTCCCCTGCTGTACCTGGCGCCTGCTGGGCTCTGCCTGTCCCCAGTGTCACCGATGCTGGGGACCGAGTGGGTGCGGGGTTTTTGGGAGCTCAGCCAGCCCCGGCAGGCGCTGCAGCCGTGCTGTGTGGGCTCTGAGAGAGGGGCCAGGTCACCGTGGAGCTGCTCCTCACACCTGGGACACACGTGGCAGTTCCCTGTGTGGCTATGGATGAGAGAGAGGCAGGAAATCCATGCAGAGAGCAGCCAGCAAACCCCAAACCCTCCTGAGAAGGAGCCGGAGCCCTTTGGACAGCAGGGTGTTCATCGTGGTGTTTGAAAGTCAAAAACTGCTCAAAGATCTGCACAGGTGAGCTCAGCAGCAGTGAGACCCCCGGCTGTAGTCACAAGTCTGGCACAAGTTTTTGGGCAGGTAAACAAGCAAACTTACCAAAAATAGGAATTCCAGGGCTTGGGTTGCTTCTTCTCATCTGTAACCTGCAGGTGCATCACTGCATCCCTCCCGTTCATCTCATGCTTTTCTAAATTCACATTATAAGAGCTGGAGAGACAGAAAGGAGAACATTTGTATAATAAAAAAAAAACTTAGCAACATGGAAAAATTGTGCTAACCATGCAAATATACTGAAGGGATAGGGCTTGAAAGGAAATATCCACTTATCCCCAGGGAAAGTTATGATTTACGAGGGGCAGCTCAGCGTTGCTTACTGCTTTTCACTCTCCTTCCGTCTCATGATGATCCCAGCTACAATTCCAAGGGCTACTGGGGGAACTAACAAAGAAGGGAGAGCGAAATCAGCCATTGACTCCAGGTATTTAACAGCAAAGAGCTTTGGGTAAGAAAATTTATTTTCAATTTTAAGCTACTTACCAATGCAACTCGGAATGAGGATGCTTGCTGGGCGGGAAAATAATGAAATGGTTGTTAAAAATAGGAAGACCGAAATGTGATGCAATTACAGTAATTAACAGGACTTCTAAGAAATGGAGATCTTACCCAGCCAATAAGGATTCTCTTCTGAGGATTTGGTTCGATTTGTCTCTGTTGTGGTTTTAACTAGGGAGAGACAAAGGAACAACACTCAAAATGTTATTTTAGATGGTGCTCGACTTGTACATAATATATAAAACAGTTCAGAGAGGAGTAATCAGCACATGGGCAGGTGATTTGTGCATCTCAGGCTGTGGCAGGGACCTCTTGTGCCACTCCAGGCCTTATGGACAGAGGGGATTCTGCTGTTCCACTCGGCTTTATTGCCTGGACACGACGCATAAATCCCTTCTAAGTTCCCTCCACCAGCTTTGACAATTTCCCACATTGTCCATTACACTTCTGCCCGTTCCTCTGGAAGGGAAAACGTAAAACCAAGCCTGGTTCTGCTCCTGGTGTTCCTCAGCAGAGCAGATGCTGCTCCCCCAGAAACAAACCCTACAGAATTCCCGTGCACACAGAGCAGGGAATTAGGGACAATCATCAGCCCAGCAAGGGCACAGTGCAGGGGCAGGGGGTGGGATGAGCTCACCGAGGCAGGCGGGAGGGGCCCCGCTCCAGGTGCCATTGTCCCCGCAGCGCAGCGTGTCCTGTCCCACCAGCTGCAGCCCCGGCTCGCACCTGTAGGTTGTGACGGAGCCGAACACAAACTGCCCCGAGCTGTTCCCGCTGTGCTGCCCCTGGGGGATGGCTGGAGGAGGGGGGCAGGAAAGAGCTGTGGGAGAAAGGGAAAAGAACTCAGGAGGTGACCGCTGGGATGCTGTTGCTGAGGGGACGCTGGCTCTGTCAGCCTTCAGGGGCAGAAGGAGCCAGTGATGCTCCTGGGGAGTCCCTGCTTTGTGACAGCAGCTCTCCCCTCGCAGAGATACTGCCCTGACTTCACTTTGTGAAGTAAACCAAAAATTCAGTATTTGTGAGTTGCAATATTTGGTTTTTCCAGTCAAGCACTGGACAAATTCACTCACCCTGACAAGCTGGAAGAGGACTCCAGACAGCTTTGTCTCCCTGTAGGAGACACCTGATGGAAGGCGATTCTCCCTTTAATCTGTACCTGGAGGGGGCAAAAGCACATCCCAAAATCAGCTTGTTGTCAGCAGCCAAGAATGTGTCACTCTGTATGGGCAGAGCCCCGTGTCCCAGTTCACACCCCAGTGACTCTGGCCAGGCAACTGGGATGCAGTGGGCAGTGGCTCACACTCACCCACGGTCACAAACCACATTGGCTGTTGCTCCCAGCAGATGATCTTTTATGATGAACACTTGGCCGTGTTCTGGATTGGCTGGAATACCACAAGATTTCCCTAAAAAAAGAGTTCAGATTATCCTTAGGACACTATGAAGCTGGGAAAAACCCCACAGACAGTTTTCATGGCAGTATGGCAATGTCAAATCGGGCAGTTAATGGTATTTCATGTTAAATGTCACTAGAAAAGAGCAATTTTAAATACAGACGTGGCACTTGGAACACAGCGTTGGAGAAAATGAAATGACATGGAGACACTCACTCAGACACAGTTCAGGAACTTTTGTCCACGTTAAGCTGTCCAAACACGTGCTGGTGGGGGGCTGGTCTGTGGTGTTGTCAAAAGCTGGGCGACAAATGTACCTCACCGTGGTATTAACAGCATAAAAATTCTGTCTTTGGTCTTCTGGTGATAGGGCAGCAAATGGCACAGATGGAGGTCTGGGACAGCTGCCTGGCCACCACAGAGACAAGGGAAATGTCCACTTATAGGGCAAAAATAATAACATTTTGCTTTCAACTGTAAACACAAATCCCAGCAAAAATAACAACATTTTGCTTTCAACTGCAAGAATGAATGCGAGTGATGACACACAAGTGTCACTAAGCACATGGATACCCCAAACTGTGCCCTCCTCCCTGGCCACTTCCACCAGGGAATTGTCTGAGGTGGGAAAGTGCAGCCAGTTCTCACTGGAGAAGTTTCCAGATCCCCAAAGCCAAACCTCCTCCTCCTTTGGTCACTCAGTGCTCTGTCCCTTCCCATTTTCCGTGCTCTTCCCAAGCTGTTCCTCAATTTTTATTAACACACAAGGGCCAGCACATGGCAACAGCCTCGGTGGAGTGCAGGAAAAAAGGGGCAGCAAGAGAAGTGGCCAAACCACTTCATCCTGTGCGATGAGGAAACCTCTAAGGCAGCGATTGCCAAAGCTGCGAGTGTTTCCACAAGCAGCCTCCGTGTGTCACAGAAAGGGAAACACTCACGGCCGCAGATGTCGGGCAGGCTGGACCAGCGGGAGTTGGACAAGCACCGGATGGTGTCGGAGAGAAGGGGGCGCTTGGTGTAACCCGGGACACAGACGAAGGTCACTGTGGAGCCCACGCTGAAGCTCTGCTGCTCTTTGATGTCCCCACGGGGCTCGGCGTGGCTGATATTCGGCAGCGGCCCGCAGTCCCCTGGGGGAAAAGAAACGGGGATTTAGCGGGGTTCATTCTGCTGGTTTTGTACCCCAGGCAGGGCACACAGACTGTGGGAAAGGGTGGCACAGGGAGCAGGGCACACAGGGGGACAGGGATATGGGGCACACAGACACAGAGAACACACAGGGACATGGATATGGGACACAGAGCACACACACCCACAAAAAGAACACACGGAACACATGGAGAATACACACAGACGGGGAACACACGCACACGGATCACACTCACATGGATTAGACATGGAGCACACGTCACACACACACTCCTGTGGGTAACAGAGCACACACTCCATGGATAACGCATGGAGCACACACATTCCCATGGATAGCACACAGAGAACACACTCCATGGATAACACACATTCCATGGATAAGACACAGAGCACACACTCCATGGATAACACACATTGCCATGGATAACACACAGAGCACACACTCCATGGATAGCACACAGAGAACACATTGCCATGGATAATACACACTCCATGGATAACACACAGAGAACACACTCCATGGATAACACACACTCCATGGATAACACACAGATAACACACAGAGCACACACTCGCACACCTGAGCGCTCACCTGCGGACACAGAGAACGCTCCCGCACCCACACACCCCCACCCGGAGTCCCGGGCTCCCCGCACCCCCACCCGGAGTCCCGGGCTCCCCGCACAGCCCTTCCCTCCCCAGGGCTCACCCCTGGCCTCGGGCAGCACCAGCAGCACCAGCAGGAGAAGCAGGAGCGAGCAGCGGCCGGAGCCCATCGCGGGTCCCCCGGCACTGCCCGGCCACTCCCGCGGGGCTGCTCCTTGCTCCAGGGAACTCCCGCCCGCCCCTCCCGGCCAGCTGAGCTGGGCTGAGCTGGGCTGAGCTCCGGGAAGGCTCTGACGAAATGGCTGAGTGTTTCCAGGAGGGGAGCGGGGCTGGGTGTGGAACACGCGGTGCCCGCTGAACCAGGCACGCCGGGCATCCCAGGGCTCAGCCTCTCCTTCTCTGCGTTACCCTGCGCCTTCCAGGAAAGACCTCCCTCCCTGCAAAGCTGCCAAGTCCCGAAGGAAAAGAAAAGACCCGAACCAAAAAGGGAAATGTGTCCTCCCAGCCCGAGGAAAGGGCAACCAGCAGCAGCCGACCTGCACCTTCCTGCTTCCCTTTGTCATCCAGGAAACAGCGATGTTTCCACTGAAAAGCTCAAACTTACCTCTTTTACTTTACTTTAGTTTTGTTTTATTTCCACTTTATTTTCCTTTCCAACACAGTTTAAGCTCCAAGCAGGTGTAACAAAGGCATTTGCAATGAGGAGCAGAGAAGTTTTCCTAAGGGAGGAATCCAGCACCTTGGATAACGTATTACTTCATAACACCTCCTTGTAAACACGGTGACAAATTCCGTGGAAATCCCTTGGCTGCATTTTTACAGCTAGTGGCCTGAATGGGGATGGTGGCTGCATAAGGCAAAAGGAATCTATCAACAGGAAAAAACGAAAAACACCTTTTAATTCTGGGGAATTCTCCTGTATTAGCTTAGGACAGTGACCTTGGAAGATTTGCAAAGTAAAGTATTTGGCAAAATGAAGTATTTGGGAAAGACTCAAGGTGATGCCGAGCCCCCGCAGGGAGTGGCTCACAGAGCCAAGAGCTGCAGCTTCGGCTCGGTGCAGTGCCCTTGCTGGCAGGCTGAACCCTTGAGCCAGGCTGTTTTCTGCTTGAGGAGGGGACAGGACACATCTGCACCCCCTGCCCGGGCACCGGGCTCAGCCCTGCCCTTTTGCACCCACATTTTCTGTACCCACATTTCGAGGGGCCAGCGGCTCCTCCCGCGGGCAGCTGAGCCCCACGATAGCGGCTCCGTGCTTGCCCAAGGGCCGCTGCCTTTATCTGGGGCTGCCACCCCTCCCCGCAGCGCTGGAATCGGCCCCAGCAGCTGCTGCTGGCACCGGCATCACCCTGACCCCGGCTGGGTGCGGGGCTGGGGCAGCGGGAGGTGTCCGGGAGAAGCTGCCAGCAAAAACAGCGCTGGAGCTGCTCCGGGATTCCCACAGAAACTCCGCCCCAGCTCCCAAAACCTTCTGGGGCTGAGCCCTGGGTCTGCCTGCTCACTCCCTGCTGAATAGGATTAAGGGAGGTGTAGCTCGAGCTGCCTTTTCCACACATTCCTGCATGGATTTGCTTCCCTCCTTTACTACTTTTCTTTATCTCTATAACCGAGTCTAACTTGCCATGGATGGCATTAAGAAAAGAAATGTTCGGAGTGATAATGAACTGGCTGAACATTGCCAGGATATACCTTAAAGCTGATTCCTTCTTGAGAAAAGAGAATAAAATGTGACGAGAAAACAGCAGGGAGTTGAATTCACAGACTGCCCTTTGTAAACAATTACCATTTATTACTAAATAGAAATAAAAACCCAGAAAGGCTTAGGGAGTTTTTTTTACAAGACAAAATTGGGGTGTGCAGCCAAAAGAACGCACAGGACTCGTTTCCAGTCCCTCTGTGGCAGGGTGACAACACTGGGGAGGATATTTAGGAGTTGTGTTTCTGTGTCTGTCCTGCTTGATGTGCTCACAGCAGGACTGAGCTGCCTCCCTCCCTCCCTCTGGAAAGCAGAAGTTGCTCCTTTACGTTGCAAGATAGAGATGCCCAACCCACACTTGGCTTTATCTTCCTGTAGTAGAAAAAAAAACCAAACAACTGCGAGGAACTTCAGGCTGATACAAGAAGAAGCTTTTGCTAAAGAAAAGGCTTAAACCACTCAAGATATAAAGAATAAACAATGTAATATCCGAAGTACCATGGTTTCCTAAAAGAAATGAGCTGAAACTCTGCACGACAGGGAAATCCAAGCTTCCACAGTCTGGATCCACAGCTGGATCAGCTGCAGCCAGGAATTCCTAGGGACTGTGTTTAGGGTTTGTTGTGGCGTTGCCAGTGAGCAGAGAACCTGGAAACAGAGCATCAGGCTGGGTGTGACACAGCCGGGCTCTGCAGGAGCTCCTGCAGCAGCTCTGGGGATTTTGGGACAATGCAGCCTCTGGAACACCGGTGGGATCAGCAGGAATCACAGCTGGAGTCGGGATGCTGGAAGGGAATCGCTGAAAGGAAAACTCGGATGGGAGGAGCAAATATGGAAATCAGCCAATGCTTGCTGGAATGATTTGCCATCGATTTCTTGGAGTGCTAACACGTCATCATTAAAAAAATTACATTTTATATGATTTAGGTCATCCTTTATCTTAAAACAAGATGTAAGAGTCCTAATAACTGGAACAGATCAGGAACGGTAAAAGATTTTCTGGTTTTGCCCCAAAAGACAAAACTCAGGGATGGGCAAACTCAGCTTGACTCAGAAAAACACTTTTCACCATCCCCCAGGTGGGCACCGAGACCTTCCAGCGGGTCTTGTGTCTTCCCCCCTTAGAGTGACACAATTACAGCTCCCACAAAGCCAACACTCACCCTTTTCATGGATAAAATTCTCCTTTGCAGCGGGTGGGGAATTTGGGGGACCAGAACTTCCACCATGTCCAGCTTCTCCTGGCTGTGCACGACCTCCCTGTGTAGAACAAGGCTGGCATCAGAGCCTGGCCCTGGCTGTGTGGTACAAAGTTCTGTCTTGCTTTTCAAAATGCACAAAAAAACGAGTTTAAAAAAAAAAAATAAATCTGTGATAACATGAGTGCAAGGAAATAATCAATAAATCAAAATGTATTTCAGACAAAGCAAAGCTTTTAATGAAAATAGGAGGTGCAGCTGAAGCTGAGCTGTGATCCAGATGCCCAACCAGCATAAAAAATATAAATTATACAGAGAAATCTTACAGAAGAGCATGACAAAAAACCCACTCACTTCCACAAAACGATGCAAATTTGGGCCGTTTCAACTTCTGAAAGCAGCCAGGTGGGGAAAGGATCCCCATGTACTTGGGAGGACACATGGATCCTTTGCTGGCCCCAGAGTAGGATTTTGGGGATTTGTACAAAGGTAGAACAAATCTGAACCGTGAGGCAGCCCAGCTCCTGCTCGCTGAAGAGAAATATGGGAGGAAAAATGAAAATTCTGGGGTTTAGGGGCGGGAGTAAGCAGGCAGCCCCGCTGATGCTGTCCCTCCAGGACTGACCTGGTTTCCTGAGGACAGAGGAGGATTGGGAGAAGGAGATGGTGCTTTGGGGAGCCTTCCTAGAGAAGCTGAGCTTCCTCTTCCCCCCGAGACCCTTCCTGGAGGGCTGGGCTCCATTCCCCTGGGGACCTGAGGAAACGGAATTCATGGAGTGAAATCCATCAGGGGACCTTTGGTAGAAAGGGCGCTAAGGAGGAAAATAAACGGGATTTGATTCAACATTGAATCATTTCCACTCACTGGTGGGAGGAACTCTCGTCTCCGTGTCCTGCGCTCCGAGTGTGAGAGCTGAGCTTTTCTCTAGGGCACACAGAGGGAGCTTTGCCCAGCGCTCCTCCTGCCCTGCACACTCTCCTGGCTCCAGCACTGCCTGCTCCCCTTTACATCCCCTCACCGCTTACACTTGACCCCTCCTGCACTTCATACCCGCCTTATTTTAAGCTGGTTTGTCCTAAATACCAAACTAATATTAAATGGTAAACAATATATAATAAACAATAAATAATAAACAAGCAATAAACTGTAACTATTAACTATAGCTATAAATAATAATCTATAAATAATGAGTAGTACATAAGCAATATACAATAAATTTTAAATAATAAATTATAAATGCTAAATGAGAAATAATATATAATAAATAATAAACAAACATCAAACAATAAACTATAGCTATAACTGTTAACTATAACTATTAACTATTAACATTAACTATTAACTATAACTGTTAACTATAACTATTAACTATTAACATTAACTATAACTATTAACTATAACTATTAACTATAACTATTAACTATAACTATTAACTATAAATAATAAGTAATATATAAATAATATACAATACATTTTAAATAATAAATTACAAATTATAAATAAGGAATAATGAGTAATAATAAATTATAAACAACAATAAACTATAAACGATAAAAATAAACTAGAAATACAACAATAAATAATAATAAATAGTAAATACTAAATACTAAATAATAAAAAATAATAATTAATACCAAACACTGAACTCAGATGAAAGCACCTTTGCACTCGGGTGCAGCTCCACTCCAGACTCCGCTGGTTTTGTCCCTGCTCGTGCACTGGATGCTCCCGTTCCCCAGCAGCTGGAAGTTGGGCTCACAGCTGTAGGTCACCGTGGAGTTATAAACAAAAATCTCAACTCCTTCGCCATCGTGTCTGCCGTGGCTGATTGGAGGAGGTGGAGAGCAGGTAATTACTGCAGGAGAGAAGGGCACTGTGCTTGCTACAATCTTCAGTTTTAATCAAAACACAAATTGAATCCACCGAAGATTCTGGAAGGTGAACTTTGGGCACTGAAGGGTAACCTGCACTAGGTGGGTGAAGCTCTGCCTGTCCCACTTCTCTCTCATTTGTTCACAAAATGTTTTTCTGCTCACACCTTTCTCCCTCTCACAGCACAGCAAATAAACAGCAGCTTGCAGTGCTCAGGATTCCTGGAAATCTCACCCCATCACCTCCAGTCAGGACAAAAATGTTGATTTTGTGGGAACAAAGCTGCTGAAATAGCAGCAGCAGAATGGACATTTCTCAGCTGTGCTGTTGGGGACAGACCAGCCACAGAAAACAAAACAATCCAGAGAGGCTTGGACTGGAGTGAAGTAAAAAGATTTAATCTCACAATTAAAGATGAATCTCACATTCACAAGTTGGAAGTTTGCTCCATTCAATATCTTTTCCTTTCAGCTGGCACCTGATGAAATTATTCCCGACTAATTTGTACCTAAAATACACGAGAGAAAAATCAGTGAAACTCTCCAAAAGCTCCGAGTATTTCCCACCCACCTCCAGCAGGAGTGTGACGGGAGTGTGGGAAAGGCAGTTTTGAACCAGCAGTGATGCTGACACTGCTGGGTACCAGGAGAGCTCTGCCAGGATCTGTGTTCATCTATTTTTGGTGATTCCCTGCTCTGACTCTGCAGGGAAGGGAGAATCCGGGGCTGGCAGAGCTGTCTGGGAATGCCAGGCAGGGCTGAGGGATTCCCACACGGATTTGCTGAATCGGGGACTCCATCCCTGCCTGCTCCTGGCCCACAGCAGGGCTGGCGTTGATTTTGTCACCATCCAGGGCTTTTCCCACGCTGCTGTCACCCCAGGGATGAGGGGACAAGGGAGGAGCTCCCTGCTGGGCACACACAGCACCCCCAAAAGCTGGGGCTGAGCCCCAACTGCTGCTCCCTGGGCTCTCTGAACTGGGTCTGCTGAACCCCCCAGTGCTGCTGGGGCAGGACAGGGTCCCCAGTGTCCCCCAGTGTCCCCCAGTGTCCCCCAGTGTCCCCCAGTGTCCCCCAGTGCCACCTCCTGCTTTGGGGTGTCAGGTGCAGCTGTTTTGCTGAAGTTTAGCCAGAAAATCAGATGCCAGCACATTGCTGGGACACTTTCTCATAAGATGCTTTCCCCAGAGACCCTGTGGACTTCCCATCCCTGCAGGTGTCCAAGGCCAGGCTGGGCAGGACCTGGAGCCACCTGGGGCTGTGGAAGGTGTCCCTGTCCACGGCAGGAGGTGGCACTGGATGGGATTCAAGGTTTCTTCCAACCCAAACCAGTCTGGGATCCTCCATGTACAGCAATGAGGGGCAGCAGGGATTGACCCACATTAAATTAAAGTGGTTTCTGCACTGGTTTGCTGGGAGCTCATGGATCTTGTTCACCTTCCCCATCCTGAATTACCTCCTGTGCAAAACCCTCAGCATCTGGACATGCTGGATAATATCTGATCTAACTGACATGAGCAACGTTATCCCTCCACCCTGGTGGGGATTTCCAAAGCTCAGCTCAACCCTAGCAGGGTGGGACAAGCTGAGAGTGTCTCCAGTTACATCCCAAAGGAGAGAAAAAAAACCCCTCTGGTAAATCTGGAGCTGGGCAGCACAAGCCAGAGGATTCCAGCTGCTTCCTGCTGGGAGGGAGGAACACAGGCTGGAGTGGAAAGAGATTGAAGTTTCAGGTCTGTTCACTGCATTTGGGCCCTGATTGGAAGCAGGCAGCAGCCATGAGTCAGCTCCTGACTGTGGAAATTGTGCTTCACTGCACTTTCCCAACTGGACTTAAGTGGGTTTTAAAAATTCCAATGTAACCCCTTTTTATCAATATATCTCTACTATCTTAAGCTGAACTATTTTAAATAACTTGTGTTGAAGTCTAGAGTTGTCAACTGAGAGTACAACCAGCTGCTCCTGTTGGGATGGGCACTTGGAGCTCCTCTGGGTGGCACTGGAAGGAAAAGGTGGCCCTGAATTCTGAGCCTGGTGCCCTCCCTCCAGCTGTGTGCCCCTCTGGAGCTGTGCCCAGCACTCACCCATCCTCACAGGACACATCCACTCGTGCTCCCAGCTGCAGGTCCATGAGGGGACCCATCCTCCCCCCGGGCACAGCTCCTGGGACACCACAGGACATCTCTGGGGACACAAAAAAGGCTGAATGAGACAGGAGACACAGGCTTGGAGGGCTATTCCCAAAGGTTCCAGAGGGTTTCACTCCATGGGTGTCACAGCTGGGCTGGCAGGAGCCAGGCTCAGCCACAGGGGGAGGAGGGGATCCCAAAATGCTCCACACTCACTGAGGGGTTCCCATCTCAGTGGATTAGGAATGAGGCACTCGACTGTGAAAAAATATCCCTGTCACATCACCAGTCTGAATATTCCATGGGTGGCACCAAGGGAAGGCTTTGCCTTCATGTTGAAGTTCAGTGCTAGAAAAGCAAATTGGGATTTGTCCCCTGCGTGTGCCATGTCCCAGTGAAAACGTCTTTAGGACCATAAAAAGGTTGGAAAAGATCTCTAAGATCACTGAGAGTCCAGCCAAACATTCCCCAGAACAAAAAGCAAACCAGACCTGTTTACACCAGCAGAAAAAACCAAAAAGAACATCGCTGATACTTCTGCTGTTAAACAGGAACGACAAGGAATATCCACCCAGTTTTGTGCTAATGGAGCTGCTGGGATGAAAATATCCAGGCTGCAATTTGGGATGCAGGTTGGGAGCAGCCAGGGCAGCTTTTTTGGGGGGTGTGGGGGTAGCAGAAATACTCACTCCTGCACAGCTCAGCGGGCTGTGACCAGGTCAGGTTCTCCAGGCAGGTGCTGGAGGGGAAACTCTCTGAGATGTTCTCGTAGCCAGGCCGGCAGACGTAGCTCACGTTGGTGCCAACAGGGAAGAAATTCCTCCTCCCATCCACCATGGACAGGGCAGCAAAACTCAGCCTGGCTGGGGCAGCGCAGCTCCCTGGCAGCCAAGGAAAGCCGACCTGAGAGAGCTGCCCAGCAGGAGTGTCCCAAACACTCCCTGGGACCACGGGAATGCTCCTGCAGAGCTCCTGCTGCTCGGGGCAGGGTCACTCGGGTTCCTTACCGGGCTGCAGGCACCAGAGCGGGGATGGAGGGGTGTTAGGAGCCCCGGGAAGGGGTTATGGACATGGGGGGCACATGCAAAGGCTGGGGGGGCACAGGAGCCCCCGGCCCCACCCCATGACTGACCCATCTGCCAGCCCCTGCGACCACCCGGCCCCGAGGGGCACAGGGCAGGGGACAGGGACAGTGACAGGGCAGGGGGTTTGTACCCAGGGACAGGGACAGTGACAGGGCAGGGAGTTTGTCCCCTGGGACAGGGATGGTCACCCAGAGCTGTCTCGGATAAAAAGGAGAATATTTACGGCCGCAGGGCTCAGGCAGACTGGACCAGATTTTGCCAGGCAGGCACTCCATGGTGTCAGACAGCCCCGGGATCCTGCGGGCACCCTCGGAGCAGGTGAACGTCACCCTGGATCCCACTGGGAATCTGCTGGAGTTGCTGGAGGGCCTGGAGTAGCTCATGGCAGGAGGGGGCCCACAGTCACCTGCAGCAGGAGAACACCTCCTCAGGTGAGGAGCCCCTCCTGTGGCTCATCCCCTCCCCAGGAGGGGGTTTTGGGTGGCCCAGGGGTCTCCCATGGGAAAGGCACCAGCCAGGGCTGGATCTGTCCCCAGGCTTGGGGGTGGCATCAGCCAGCCCAGCCCCTGGGCAGCCAGGTGAGATCCAGGCAGGTGTCTCTGGTCCTTCCCACAGCCCCGTACTCACCACGAGCCACAGGAATGCTGAGGAGCCCCAGCAGGACCAGGAACAGCACGGGGAGACCAGAGACCCCCCCAGAGCTCGGGGGGTCGGGGTGTCCCCCCCATCCTGGTGCTCCAGCCTTCATTGCAGCGAGTGCTGTGCTCCTGTGTCAGCCCTGCTGCCTCCAAGGGCTGTGCAGGGCTGGGAGGGGATGCTCTGCAGGCTCCACCAAGCCTCTGGAACTGTGGAAACCTTCCCAGGACACCCACGGAGCTGAAATCCCCATCAGGAGCACCCAGAGCAGCCAGGGTGGGGATAACTGTCACTCACAGGCTCGGGGAAATCCTCCTGCCCCATCAGGATCTTTGTGCTTATTTGTCACTGAGCACTGACTTACACAGTTTTTCCAAAACTCTGTTCTCAGAGAAGAACAGCCCCAAGTTGGCTCCAGGGGAGGAAATACCTCCTCAGTTATTTGCTGGCAGGTAATGCACCACAGATCTGCTGTCAGCAGAGGCAGTGGAGCAAATAAAAACTTTCCTTGCTGTTCTTTTCTTTGGCTGCTTGACTCACTGGTAATGTGGAATGGGTGTGAGCAGCCACATCTGCATCCTCATTAACCCTGTGACATCAGCCAGGGCTGCTCAAACACCCTCTCACACACACTCAGGATTCAAGAATTTATTTTTTTCACACTTGTGGCTATCAAGCCTTGGAGAGGGAGGTAAAACCCCTGTCTGCAGTCCCAGGTGAGCTCAGGGGGGAGGGCACCGAGGTCACTCCAGCCCTGCTCAGCTCATGGGAGCAGCTCTCATGGCAGAGCTCCTCACCTGGAGCTGGAGAAGCACGGGATCCATCCCAAAGCACCTTTCTGTGCAAAATGAGACACCTCCTCTTCCCTGGCTGCCCTGGTACCAAATAAAGCAACTTTAATAACTTCTAAGAGCACACATCCGGCAGTGATGCTCGTGCAGGAGGTGAAGGCTCCTCCTTCCCCACCCAGCCTGGGCTGATGCAGCTCCCTGAGCTCCCCAGGACTCACCCAGCTCAGCTGTCCCCCAGAACCACCACTGGATCCCGCTGGAAATCTGCCCAATTTCCAGCCAACATGACAGATCACAATTCCCCTCCCCCTGGATAAACCCCTAGGAATAACCACAGCATCAGAGCCACAGGGTCTGATCAGAATTTATTGAGGAACAGGAATTTGCTGCCTCGCTCTCTGCACTTGGAACTGGTTGGATTCCAGCATCTATTCTGAGCATTTGCTCACCAGAAATAGGGATGTGGAAGATGACACCAGCTCAGGTATTTGGCACAGCCAGGAACCTGTTCCCTGCTGAAATCCAGGGCTGAGGTAAATGCAGCCTTTGCAGTGCACTGCTTGTGAACTGCCCTCACCCAGAAATCAGGAGCTGCACGGGCAGAAATCAGGTTTAACACTTCTTGCACCACTGTTTCCTACAAATGTACCCAAACCTCAGCTGGACCACGGCAGCAGAAGCACCTTCAGAGCCAACTCTGGACTCATCTCAGCTTTTCTGGACTTCACTCCCTTTTGCCTCAGCTTACCACAGTTAAGAAGGTGATTTTAAAAAGCTAAACTTAAATTCTTTCTATGCTTCCTAATATGAAACAACTTATTAGTTAAAGAGCAAATCAAGCTTGTAGGTTAGAGCAACACCCACTCCCTGCTCTGGCATCGAGCACAGCAGAAGCAGCCTCCCATGCACTGGTGATTGTTTTTCTGGCTCCAGGCATGCAAACAGAAACCATAAAACCACCCAGAGCCTTCTTAGAGATGCTGTGACTGCACAAACTTAGTTCACCAAAGGAAAGGTGAGCGTTACAGGGGTCCAGTTTCATTTCAGTTTTCTAGTTCCATCTCTATTTTTTTAATCTCCAGGAACAGTTTCTGTATTTCCAGCAGACTTTTCACTTCTTCTAGAGGCACACCACATTCAAAGGTCGATTTAATATAATGAACCTCTTGACACACATCAGCATCACCTTCTTTCATCTGTTAAACAGGAAAAGAAACCCCAGAAAAGCCTGTGAGGATGCACTGCAGAGAGGCAGAGCCACCCACTCCTCATCTCCTGTCCCAACAGAGCTGAATCGTCCTTAGGACCACAAATGAGAAGTTTTGAGAAGTTTAAGGAGTTTTCTTGATAGAAATCAGGCAGGACCCACCCAGGGACTCAGCCAGGCTCAGCAACCTGGGGCTCTGGGCACCTGGAAATGCTGAACCACGGCAGGGGTGGAACTGGATGATCTTTAAGGCTCCCCCCAACCCAAACCACTCCATAACTCTGTGGTACTCACACACTTGGGCAGAGGTGTCCAGCTGCCATCAGGCAAGCACGTGGCTGTCCAGGACTCTTCCAAAGGCACCATTGCATTGTCTGGGAGCTGGTAGCCAGGCAGGCACTCGAAGGTGACAGTCTCGTTGGTCTGGTACCACCTCCTGCCACCCAAAGGGCTTTTCAGCCTCCCAAAGGGCACTCGTGGCTGTGGACACAGAACTGAAAGGAAAACCCAAGGCAGAGGTCAGAAAGAAGTTTGGGAAGGCTGAGCCAGCGCAGAGGAAGTTAAAATTGTGGAGCTGTGAAATCAAATGCGAAAGCAAAAAAATACTTCTCCTCAAGAGGGTGAAGGTCAGAGCAGCCCCTGAGAGGTGCTGAGAATTCGTGATGGATTTGCTGTTTTCTGCCAGTGTCTCATCCAGGCATCCCCACCACGGGGGTGGATTTGGCAATAAGGGAAGGGAAAGTCAGTGAACACCTGACCCAGCTTAGAGCCTCCTTTACACACAGCTGTCGATAAAAACTCAACTATCACCTGGAAAACAGCAGCTCGGGGAAGGTTGTTTCTTCTGCAAACAGAGGAAGGACTCAGGAAGCCCCAAGGACAGACAGAGCCAGGCAGTGCTGCACCCCAAACCTCTGCTCTGCCCCAGGCAGATTTTGGAAGCACCCCTGAATGCCCATCACATTTGCAGTAGAAGGGCGCAGTTTATTCACCCCATAGCACAATTTGTTAGTGAATCACTGAAAATGCAAGTTACAAATCAGGGAACGGGAGATGGAGGAGGAAATGCTCGCTCACCTGGCTGGCAGGTGGGCACGGGCGGGTCCCAGGTGCCATCAGCCTGGCACCGGCTCTGGGCAGCGCCGCTCAGCCCGAAGCCTTGGTCACACGAGAAGTGCAGGAGCAGCCCGTAGGGAAAGGTGAACGTCTGTGGGGTCATCCTGCCCCTCTGCACCACGGGCTTGGGGCACCGAACCACTGCGGGACACAGCAGGGCTGCCTGCGGGGACAGCAGCACCGGGGCTGCCCCTCCCCACCCCCTGCTGGCCCCAGCCACGACATCCAGACTCTGTCACTCCCACATGGATCATCCCCCCCATCCTGGGGAGGCAGCAGCATCTCCAGGCAGCCCTGCTGGCTTTAACCCATTGTTCTGAGTGCTAACACTGCCCCCAGGGTCTGGCTCAGCCTGACCCCAAACCCTGATCCCATCCTTGACCCCAAACCCTGATCCCATCCCTGATCCCATTCAATGATCACAAACCTGATTCCAAACCCTGATCCCATCCCTGATCCCATCCTTGACCCCAAACCCTGATCCTATACACTGATCACAAACCCTGATCCCATTCCCTGATCCCAAACGCTAATCCCATCCCTGATCACAAACCTGATTCCAAACCCTGACCCCATACCCTGATACTAGACCCTGACCCCAAATTTTGATCCCTGACCCCACACTCACCCCTGCACTCCGGGGCAGGTCCACTCCATGTCAGGTTGTCCCCATCCTCGGAGGTGCAGTACAGGGACTCGTTCCCAATGAGGGACAGCCCCTCTGCACAGCTGTACTTGACCTCAGAGCCGTAGGGGAACTGCTTAACCCCAAAGCCAGAGTGCTGCCCGTGTGCGATTTTGGGAGGGGGGTCACAGACTGCGAGAGCAAAGGGAGAAGTCAGCTTTCCCTCATTCCCTTAGGGAGGCAGAAGCAGGGAGCTTCTCCACGGTCATGGAGCCAAATGTCGCTCTCCTCACCGTCCTTGCCTCTGGCCAGCTTTGGTACCAGTGCTCCCAGTCTGACCCAGCCATGACCCCAGCCCTCAGCACAGCCCCAGCTTCTCCTTCAGCCTCTTCCCCTTTCCCTTCCCCTCCTGTTTTCCTTGAGAAACCATCCTGCTCCTGAGTGGGAGTACCACCAACCCCTGGAAGAACCCTTTGAGAAATGGCTGCAAGTGCCATTAACCAACACATTTAATCAATCCCACTTCTGCTACAAGATGGAAACGCTGAAGCCCCTCAGTGCTGCGGTTTGGGCACCTTCTCCCCACACCTCACACGATTTTTCTCCCTGCTGTCCCTCCCACGGATGGGATTCCCAGCCCTGCTGTGCTGTCCCCACTCACCCCTGTCACAGTAGGGCACCGGGGGTCTCCACACCCCGTCAGCCGAGCACTGCACCCTCTCACTGCCCTTGAGCACGTAGCCTTGGTCACACTGGAACTCCAGCTGCTGCCCGAAGGTGTACTGGGCTCTGCTGGGGCTGCTCTCTCTGCCGTGGGGGATGTCTGGGCTGGGACACTGCACCTCTGAGGGACGGCAGCACCAGAGAGGAGAGATTTGCACACAGGGATTCAGCAGCGGCGCTTTAGTGACCCAGCCCAGCTGTGGCAGACACCTCTAACCAGAGCTGGCAGGCTCAGGGATGGGAATTACAGCATGAAAACCATTTCTGCTGCAACGCAGAAGGATGTGAGAGCCCTGCGATCAGCGTGCTGGGGGGATGGCACATCGCTGCCTGCATCCCTGAATCCTTGTTGGAGCCGCTAAAAAAACAGGGGGAGCTGCAGCTTTTCCTTTCCAGCCACGCCACTCTTCGAGCAGCAAAATTATTGCCAGGGAGAGGCAGAGCTGCTGGAGAGAGCCCTGCCCGCCCTGAGCAGGGGGTTGAGAACGGCGTCGTTAAATCGATGATTTGTTGGCAAAGCAAAAGAAGTGATGTACTCACTCTGGCAGAGCCTTGGCACCGAGGACCACGTGAAGTTCTGCAGACAAGTGATGGTCGGGGACACCCCGGGGATCGAGGAGAAGCCGGCTCTGCAGGAGTAGCTCAGGGTGGTCCCGACCAGGAACTCACGCCGGGGCTGGGGGTCAGCGAAGTCCACAGCGGGAGGGTGGGGACACTGCCCTGGGGACAGAGCAGGGGACAGCAGAGACCCTCAGCCCTGCCCTGGGGACACAGAGCAGGGGACAGCAGAGACCCCTCAGCCCTGCCCTGGGGACAGAGCAGGGGACACTGCCCTGGGGACAGAGCAGGGGACACCAGAAACCCTCAGCCCTGCCCTGGGGACACAGAGCAGGGGACACAGAGCAGGGGACACCAGAAACCCTCAGCACTGCCCTGGGGACACAGAGCAGGGGACAGCAAAGACCCCTCAAGCCCTGCCCTGGGGACACAGAGCAGGGGACACAGAGCAGGGGACAGCAAAGACCCCTCAGCCCTGCCCTGGGGACAGAGCAGGGGACACCAGAAACCCTCAGCACTGCCCTGGGGACACAGAGCAGGGGACACAGAGCAGGGGACAGCAAAGACCCCTCAGCACTGCCCTGGGGACACAGAGCAGGGGACAACACAGACCCTCAGCACTGGGAGCTTTTCCTGGGTGGAAAACTCCAAAAACAAGTGAGAGACAGCAGCACCCCTGAGTGTGGCTGTGGGGTGAAGGGGAAAACAGCGGTGAAAATTCACCAAAGGATGTGAGCCGAGTGAGAATTTTCCTTCTCACGCGCTTTGGCACCTCGTGGGTGTCCCCTGCAGGAAGGGACAGCCCTGCCACGCTCCCCAGAGCCATCCCACAGGCAATGCTGCCAGCCAGTGGATGCTGCCTCTAAATGCTTTTGGGGAAATGAGAGCAAGATTGCACCTGGCAGAGGCCAGGAGGGGACCTGAGCTCACCTGGGATACAGAAGGGGACCTGAGCTCACCTGGGATGCAGGAGGGCACCCGTGGGTACCACCTGCCATTGAAGGTGCACCTCACCGTGGTGCCAGTGGGCACGAACCCGGGCTCACACTCCAGCGTGGCTGTGCTGCCATAGGTGAAGTTCTCAGCAGAGCTCAGCTGCCCGTTTGCAATGTGAGGGATGGGACACTGAGCCTCTGTGGATCACAAAAAAAAAAATAAATAAAAAGGGGATTTTCCGGGGTGTTCTTGCATAATGCCACCACAGTGACCGAGTGTCACGGCAGCTCTGCTGGGGGGTGAGAGGAGATAAAGCTCTTTAATAATTGCAGGGATTGAGGCAGAGGGTTTGGGGGTTAATAAACATCCTGAGCAGCCACCAACAGGATCCCGAATCTGTGGGGTTTCCTTTCTGCACAATCAAACTCCTTTTCTGCCCTTCCCTCGGAGCATTTGCTCAGGCAGGGCACAAGCGACTCCAGGCGCAGCAGCCCCCCAGCCTTGCAAAAAAAAAAAAAAATTTTAAAAAGAGTCTCTACAACAGCTACATAACCTCTGTCACACCTGCACATCACTGATGTCCCAACAAAAAAACGCCTCTTTCCATGTCTCCCATGAGAAATATTTAGGAGCTTATGACAAACAACAGAGAAAACAAAACTCCAGCAGCTCTAACCGGGATTTCTTCATGCCTGGCAGTGCTGGCAGGGCACCAAGACAGAGTTAAAACGTGTTTGAACATCCTGGTTCACATGCAGGTGCTGCAGCGTCCCACACGTGCACTGTGCCAGGGCAGCTCCACCAATGCTGCCTTTGGTACCATCCCCATGGAAAATATCTGTCTTGGAAAATACCTTGGAAAACATCTTGGAAAATACCTTGGAAAATATCTTGGAAAATATGTTGTTTATTTCTCCTCCAGCCCCCAGATTAATTACTGGCACCTCATTAGTCATGTTTGGCTTTGTGAAATGAGCTGAGAAGCACCAGGAAGTGAAAGCAATAAATATTAAGAATAAAAGCAATGTGCACAGGCAGTGCTGGTGCAGGGGGGTGCTGGGACAGGCTGGAGAAGTTTCTGGAAAGGTTTGGGTTTAACTGAAGCCCCAACTTCCAGACAGAAACTGCTGCTTATTCCCCTTCCCAGGGACATTCAGCACTCAGCAGATTTGCACTTCTGCAGTCCTGAGCTCAGCTGGGGGATGCCTGGCCATGCCCCAGGGCTGAGGTATCACAGAATCAGACAGAGAATCACGGAAGGGACATTAAACTTGGGATGGAAAGGACATTAAACCCCACCCAGTGCCACCCCTGCCACGGCAGGGACACCTTCTCCTGTCCCAGCTGCTCCCAGCCCTGTCCAGCCTGGCCTTGGGCACTGCCAGGGGATCCAGAGGCAGCCAGAGCTGCTCTGAGCCCCCTCCCCACCCTCCCAGGGAGGAATTCCTTCCCAATATCCCACCTAAACCTGTCCCTATTCACCTGTAACCCACTCCCCTTTCCCTGTCACTCCATTCCTGGTGAAAATCCCCTCTCCAGCCTTCCTGGATCCCCTTGGGGCACTGCAGGGCTCCGTCAGCTCTTCCCAAATCCCTGGAGAGGGGAAAGCAGAGCCCCAGGAGCTGAGGAGGGACGGGGGGGACACTCACCCTGAGTCCCCGGGGGCTGCAGCACCAGGAGCATCCCTGCCAGCAGGGACGGCAGGAGCCGGGGCATGGCGAGGGATGGGAGCTGCCCTGGAAGCAGAAATCCTCTCCCCCAGAGCCTGCAGGGAAGGGGAAACTGCAGTGGGAAGTTGGGGACAGGCAGACACTGTCACTGTGTCACTGACACCACCCCCAGCCTGGCTCGTGTCTGAAGCACCCAGGGCAGGTGGGGTCGGGAGGGAAAACTGCTGTGAAAACATCCCCAACATCCCTGCACTCATGGAACAGAACCTAACTGAGCTGTCTATTTACACACGCTATAAATAAACCTATTTGTTATATACACGTTATGTATATTTCTTATATATATATATAGTGTGTGTATATATAGTGTGTATATATAAAATATACATATATTATATATGTATATATTAATATAATAACATTAATATTAATATATTGTGTATTATATTACATAATTGTATAGTATACAATTATAAATAATATAAATAATTATTATAACATATATTGGTATATGAAACGTATTATATTGTTATCTAATATTAATATATACTATTAATATAATATATTATATATGCATATTTATATATATGTATATATCATATACATTTATAATATGTATATACTATATACATTTTAATGTCTTACAGATATTTTATATATATACTTCATATGTATGATATAAATATTTCCCTTTACTAGAGATAGGACAGATCATTAAACCCCAAACAGAGCTGTGATTACAATTGCAGGTTTATTATAATCTCTGGTCGTGGCCTGCACAGCACTTCCCCTTTACTGGATGTTGCAGGAAAAAAAAAAAAATTCCAAACCCAGCCATTATTTTCTGTACAATTATTTGCCCTTGGAGCACACACAGATGGACCCATCCACCCTGGCATTTTTGCTTTGCTCTCACCACGTTCGTGCCTGTTTGTGCCACCAAAATTCACTTTCCACTCAGTTCCTTCCTAACAGTGAACTGCCAGCATAGCAAACAGATGTAAATGTGAAGCTGTAAAAGGCATAAAGTGATCCACAAACTGAACCTGGTGAGCCCTAAAAATTGAATCACAAGTCAGTGACTCCTGTTAGCCAAAAGCTAATTAAGAATAAAGGAGAGCTTTATTTTGCTGTTTACTGCAGACAATATAATTTGTGTGAAGGATGTGGGGGAGCAAGTTCAGTCTTTGATAACAAACTTTGCACTTTTTCTTTTCTTTTTCACTTCTGGATCCAGTCTTAAAGTTGTAGGACTTAATATTCAACAGAACAAAGAACTGGGGATACAAGCATCACAAAGTCACCCCAAGACAATTCCTCATGTGACCAAATCTGTGGCCAATTGTTAAATTTTGTCCTGTCTACTTCAGAATTAGCACGAATTACAACGTCATAAAAAAATTCTCAGTCAGCATCAGGATCCACCACACAGAGGATGGTTCTTACGAGCCCAGTGCCACCAGGCAGCTTTAGGTGGTCATTTTTAACTCCTTTTCAAGTTTCTGGATCTCCAGGTAGAGTTTCTGGACTTCCAGCAGGGTTTTCACATCTGACAGAGGAATTCCACACTGGAAAGCTGCTTTGTTGTGAAGAATCCTCTCACACACATCTGATTTTTTCTTTAAAAGAACCAAAACAAAGGCAGAGTGAGACTCCAGTGCGGGGTGACAAAGCCCTGGTGAAGCCGGACCAAAGCTATTCCAGGCTATAAACGGGGCAAAAAAAAAACCAGGAAAAATGGGGCACCTGGGGGTACTTACACACATGGGTGGGGGTGCCCAGGTGCCATCAGCCGAGCAGGTGGTTTTGGAAGGTGTCCCTGGATAGCCAGCCCGTGTGCAGGAGAAGGACACGGTTTCATTCACCTCGTACCACAGCTTGTTGAAATGAACCACGACACCCTCCTGCCTCGGGAGGCTGGGACACTGCACTGCGGAGGGAAACACACACACAAAAAAATCAAATTATGGGGTGAGATGGAGGAGAAAACACCCTGCAAACCCCTCCTGAGAGCCAGCAGAGCAGCCCCCGGGCTGGGCTGGGCAGGGCTGGCACTCACCTGGCTGGCAGGTGGGCACGGGCGGGTGCCAGGTGCCATCAGCCTGGCACCGGCTCTGGGCAGCGCCGCTCAGCC